GTGGTGTCTTGGTTGCTCACAGAAAAAGCAGGGGGTAGATACTGCTTCCATTACTTCCTGCTTTCGGGTTGAGGTTCCGAAGTATATATACATATATATATATATATATATATATATATATATATATATATATTTCATTCACGTCTGAGGCCAGACTGTGTGAGGTTCCGAAGCACCTCGTATAGAAGTTGGAGCTGCTACATCCGACTGCCTGGATGTCGCACCGCTTGGGACTTAAGAGGGCGAATCACAGAGTTGCTAAGCATGTTCCAACATGCGAGCCTCTTCAGATGCATTTTGAAGATGAAGTCGTTGGTGAATGTTATTTGACATTAATACTGTGATGAAGGCATCGCGGATAGCCTCGCCAAGATGCTTTCCAGCAGAAACGGACAAGAAGTTATAGTCACCAGCGAGGTTGCGCAGTTTCTGTAGAAACTGATCCACTGATTGTCCATGTTTTTGTTTAGTTGTAGCTAATACATGGCACGCAAAGTCTTTGTTTTTCGGTTTGATATACAGAGCTTCAATGCTTCGTGGTATCTCCTCGTAGGTGGAGCAGTCGACAAATTGCTGGAGAGATGAAGTTGATAAGTTCTTTTGTATCGGCGTCGGGGATCTCTAATATTGAAAGAAAGTTGTCAAAAGATTCCTGCCAGTAATTCCATTGCCCGACTGCTGTAGGAGAATGAACCTAAGCGTCAAAGCGTTCTGGGCGAAGAGAAGAGGAAGAATTTGAGTAATGCAAATTAATCGAGAAGAGGAGTCTGGTCGAATTAAGGCTTCAATCTTCTAACAATTGTAGTACAATAGCTAAAACGTAAGAAATGGAAGAGTTAATACAGTTCAATGTGAAAGGCGGTACCACATTAGTTTATGACACTCCTCCGACGATATGCTGCGAAGCAAGGTGATAATGGAGCCGGCTAGAGAGTCACCACCCATCGTGAAAAGAATGGAAAGAAACCCCTCAGGTCTCGCTGATTTCCCTTTCTTAAACAATTCAATGCAAATTTGTACTCCTAATTCTGTTTGAGGCTCACATGTTACCACCCATGCACTTTCCGTCGCAATCGCTGGAAAAACTGCATTACCATTTGACCAGTTACACTGTTCACTAAAATACTCTGCCCAGCGATCAAGTCGTTGTTCTTCATTGTGGATACTCAGTCCACGTTTATCGCAAACGATCTCACTGACCGGCATTCTTCGACCTCTAACGCTGCGTATCAGATGAAACAGTCTTGGAATATTCCCTGATGCAGAAGCTACCTCTATTTCACCAACTATTTTGGTCTACCAGTTTCCGCGATTCTTCTTGAGGTTTTTCCTGAGTTGACTTTACAGGCGCCATCGGTCCCTATGCTGATCCTGGGTGTCTTGGGTTGTGCTTGGTCACCATCCCCTTGCACCTCGCGACATGCTCCCATACGACCAAGCGTCTCAGATAGCCCCTGCTGAGGAAACTCTACTCACTGCCTTCTCGTGGCGGAGGTATTTTCCCACAAAAAGAGAAGACGAAAAGCGGATATCCGGGACTATAACCCGGGTGTTCAACTAGGGGAGTTGGTCAAAAACCTTGATTCCAAACTAACCGAGGGGAGGCTTAAGAACCACACACACAAGTTCCTGGTTGCGGTGGTTTTGGTCACCAGCTCGATTGGGCATCGAGGTGTATTGGGCACCTTGGGCGTTTGACCCCGACCAAAGGGCGTATGACCCGATGAACTGGACACGGGCCCCAATGGGTTGCGGTTTTCGCTCACCGCTCCACTGATTNTTGGCTAGCCGAAGGCTCCGGTTGGGGATTCCTCAAGAAAATTCACCTGCTTTGGCCTGGTCAACCTAGCAGTATTGTGCCCTTGAGCAAATCATGGACATTTTCTTTTTACAAGGATTGTTGTACCGGGATTTGTTTTGCATAGTTTGCAATCAGGCATGTGTGAATATATATATATATATATCATGTGCAGGGTGAATTTAAGGTTTTTGCTATACAAGGGGAGTTTGAGTGAAGATTCCGACGCGGAATTGAAAACCCGCTTTCAAAAAGCAAGCTGAGATGAGACAGGATACGTATAACAGACAAGTTACAGGTAATCCAAGAAGAGTCAGCGAAGGTTGGCCAACAATCCTTGTAAAAAGAAAATGTCCATGATTTCCTCTGCGGTTTTCACAGGAGGACCTGTCGGGATGATCGTAACCGATGGTTAGATACACTGAGTGATATGGCTGGATGTCGCAAACAGTGGCGTTCGTGCATCTTCCCAATTCCTTTGCAACTTTAGACCACTGAAATTCGCCATTTTATGTTCGGCTCTACCCTCAATTCTTCCTATTATCCATCGAAATGGGTAGCCAAAAGACAGCAACCAAGAGCGGTGCACGAATATGCTTGGTTAATGGTTATACAAACTGGACTGAACTGAACTAAGAATCCATCGTTGATTTCAGATATATTGCTAACAGTCGGTACGAGGATACGATGCTTCATTCTTTAGCTGTTGACCTGTGCTAAACCGTTGAGACGTACAGCGCACAGTCGGCTACTGACTGGAATCCAGTCCAGAAGCGAGTGATCAGCCGTGGCACTGAGCGCAATCCCAACACCAGTAACACCGCTAGCTTCGGATGCCAAATCGCCTGACACATGTTCAAATGACGTAGTTTTTGCAGGAAATGTCAATGCTCTAGTGGGATCCCTGGACGAATCATAAAGGCTTCTTGGCGGTCCACATGCAATCCCAGCCAATTGGGCGGAGAACAGAGGTCGCTTACTTCAACTCTGCACGGACCACGGATTGTTCCTGTCCAGCACAAAATTATCTCTCAAGAAGCGATACGGGTATGAGAACCCTAACCAAGAGACTCAATCTAATAAGTCGCGTTAGGCTTCCTGGAATGGGGACCTCTTGTCGTTTCTCATCAGGCCAAATTTCTAGAAGTGGTGTGCATGCACAGTTAGGTTGTGAACTCTGTGTTGACCGTAGAGGTTCACCTTCTTTCCCCTCCATCGAAATAGGTTCAATCCTTGTTCACCTTTTTATATTACTACTAAGCTTGTATGCACTGCGAGTTTGACAGCGATCAGTTCGCTTCACTGTATTTTGCTGTACGAGGGTGCCTAACGGGACTTACGGAGTCGGGGTCACATAGGTCCCGTTAAGCTTCCTGGATGGGAACCTCGGGATGGTCGTACCCGATGGTTAGAGACACTGAGTGATATGGCTGGGTGTCGCAAACAGTGGCGTTCGTGCATCTTCTCAATTTCTCAGTATCATTAGTCCACTGAAATTTTCAATTCTCTCTTCGATCCTACTTTCAACCTTTTCTATCTTTCTCATTATGTTCATCTATATGGGCAGCCGAAAGATAGCAACCAAAACCGGCGCGCGATAGTGCATTGTTAATGGTTGTTCAAACTGAAACTGAACTTGAAATTGCTGTACGATGAAATAAGTGACAATGATGAAACCTTTGCAATAATCCACAATGGTCTGTAGAATGAGTCACAAAGTGTGGGAATTCGGCTCAACACTAGCTGAAGCGATCGATATACTTGTGTCACTTGATTGTGCAAGTATTCAAGGTTAATTCTAGAAGAAGAAAAAAGCCGTGGTTTTTTGTACCATATTTTCCAAATGTTTCAGGAATTTCTCACCCCGAAGACAATTTATCCTCATGAAGTATCAAGTCGCTCAAAAACCAACGTAAGTGAACTTTAAGTCTCGACCATGGGATTCATTCCAGCTGCTACTGTTCGTCACACTTTCGTGTGTACGTGTTTGACAAAATTAGTCGATTCTAATTTCCGAATAGCTCTCATAACGATTAGTTTCATGTGCTCCAGAGTTGTAACAGATTGCATTTAATGAAATTTTTTCAATCACGTATTAAAATGTTTTCGCACAACGTCAACTAAAAATCTTTCTTCATCATTTACAGAATTAGTTACGGCTATTATGTCACAACGATTGATCTGTGTCAATTTGGTGTAGCCTGTAACCACTTTAGCAATGCAGGAGTATGATGAATCTGTTCGTTCGGAGCGCAGCCGAGACCGTGCACATCGGCGGAAAAAACAACGAGAAGACTCACGAACTGAAACTGTACAGGAAGAAACTAAAACTCGCCGTTCGCATCGAAGACGAAAGGAAAGCCGTGGACTTGCCGAAGAAGATCCGTCTAATTACTACGTAAACCAAGAACACCATGCACCACCCGAATCGAACGATGATTATCCTCAACCGGAAGAAAGTGAAAATTACCCGGAACCAAATGAATCTGCGATGGAAGACGGTAGAAGCCATAGACAGGGATCAAGGCGCTCCAAACATCGACATCATCACCGGCGTCCGTCAGAGAGGGAATCCGAGTATGTGAACGCTGATGTTGCACCGGCACACGATCAGTACGAACGAGAAGACAATCAACGAGGGTATCAGTACATGCCTGAGGAGACAGAGGAATATGTAGAAGAACAAGCGGGTTATACTCCCAGTGTCGATGAAAACTATCCAGATGCAGGAGGTAGTGTGTTATCCGGCTCACAAATGCAAAATGGTTCGATATCTTACCATCCCGATCATGACACACATAACACAAGGGACTATTCTCGTTCAGGTTCTCATTTGGCTCCCTCCGTTCAGTCTGTGTCAGATTACGGAGGGCATTCTGCTCACAGCATAACTCCACGTACTGTTGGAGGGGGCGATCCAGGCTATTGGAATGTGGACGACGAACGTCATAGCTCTCTGCCTCCGATGATGCCCTCAAATGTTGAGCCTGAACCTGTTCCAGCTCGTCCGAAACCGCTCCAAAAATTCCTATCATCCTTTCGACGACTAAAGCCAAAGAATATACCTCGTTCCACGTCACAAAATGCAGATCCTTCCGGGGCTTTGACTGCCCAAGTGATAATGTTAGATGGAGAGGAAGTGTCTTATCCGTTGGATCGAAATGACCTTGGTCTTACTTTATTCACCAAAGTTTGCGAAACGTTGGACTTAGTAGAGACCGACTATTTCGGTCTGACATATGTGAACAACAAACTGAGGACATGGGTATGTTTCACACATGGTTTCTCTGTTTCCGATTTTTCATTTCTTAGAAGTTTAACCAGTTGGCTCAAATCACTTAATAATTCAAATTGCTCAATAGCTGACATCTTCCATAAGTGTTCTTTGTGGCTTTCGCAAACCTTCTAGGAGTCTCTCATATTTTCAGTATTTCGTTTTATTGTTTGACTGTGGAGATTATGATCATAATGGTCATAACTTCTGCGGATCCTGATTCACTTGTGCGAAATTATTCTGGATTGAGTGGTCATGAGAACACAAAATAGTAAACAAGTGCGTTTTCGGTGCTGCATCAACTGGCAAAATACAGCATAATTTCATAATAGACTAAACAAGCGGTAAGAGGAGACATTTCTGCGAAGGAAGTCAGAGTTCAAGAAGAAATAATGGAATTGTGATAATTAATGTTTGTGAATGTGTATGTTTGTGCTTGTATTCGTGGAGAGTGGAGGACGAAGGGTGTTTTTGAATGGGTGAGTAGGCGAATGAGTGAGAGTTCATTAACGGAGGTTACGTCGCCAGATCGTGCGTGGATGGCCATGGTAAAACCAGTGTACTTACAAATTGCTTCTGGGCTCATAAAGTGGAGGAGTTGTGGAGACGGATGGCAATCGGCTGGTGACCAAACTATGAACTTGACCTCTTTGCATAACCCTTCCCTGACTGTATAGAGAGGACGGAAAGCCTCAAGAACCCCGACTGTGTGCCATGGCTATCGACGAACGATCTGGTGACGTAACCTCTCACTCATTCACCTACTCACCCATTCAAAAACACCCTTCGTCCTCCACTCTCCACGAATACAAGCACAAACATACACATTCACAAACATTAATTATCACAATTCCATTATTTCTTCTTGAACTCTGACTTCCTTCGCAGAAATGTCTCCTCTTACCGCTTGTTTAGTCTATTATGAAATTATGCTGTATTTAGCCAGTTGATGCAGCACCGAAAACGAGCTTGTTTGCTAACTTGTGTTCTCATGGTTATTCACGTGCTACGCACAAAGCCTAAAATGGGATTGTAATTATACAAAATGTTTTGATCACCATGCCACCGTGGACCTTTTGCGATGTATATATGTGTGCCCGTTTACGTAAGAAACTACCTAATCATCAAGTGACATCGCATAATTTGAGTTCAACAGCGCGATGCTCAGTCGTCGACTGAAAGCTCTCTGAGACTGGATTCAGTGTCATGTCATGGTCATTTAAGAAAAACTTACTACAAAAATCGTTCTAAAAAATAAACCAATCGTAGGTGTGATGCTTTCAGGCTGTTTAAACTCAAACACATGATTTTCTTAGGAATTCAAAACCGGAACCTTTGGCTATCCAAAACGTGACCCTTAAGACAGCTTTTCGGTAGGTAGATATCATAGTTCACTTAGACCCGGTATCCAATCAGTCGGATCTTACATCCTTCAGGTGTGATTAACGCAACTGGGCTTCCCCAAGCACCCTAGCATTCAACCGAGTCGGTGATCTTCACTACCATGATGTCTGTGGGCGGTTTGATGATCCTCTTCCTGTTTTCTAAGTTTCCCAGATCATCATTCGATTACCTGTAGCTCCTGACCATAACCTCAGATGTTGACTTTTTACTTTCTAGTTTCATGTAAAACATCTTCGCATCAGGAACCCAGTGACTAGGAATTACTAGCTGACGCATTGAAAGACGCAGTCCATGCGAACATTTCTTAGGGGGAAAACCAGTTCTTGCTCGCCGTCGAGGAAACCGAGGAGTATTTATTACTGTAATCATGGGTGGCAATGCTTTCATTGATTTGCATCAAACTTAATTACTGTGAATTTTTTCATCATTCTCCGTGGCAAGATAGTTTCTTTGGACTTGATTTCCTGCCTACCAACCAAGATTATAATTATATTGTAGAGAAGTAATTTGCTAACTAGCTGGGAACTTGTATAAATATTTCCAGCACATGGTTAACCGATATCTCCAGAGAGGGGAAGTTCCGAAGGGTTGACTAATCCACCTTATTGTCTAGTTTGATAGGGTGTATGGACGTTGAAAGCAATCATATGTATGTAGAGGGGGAAGTCGAGTCAATTATTGCATCGTTATTTCATCTAAGCTCGACTCTGGAATTTGCGGCTATGTTTCCTTACGTAAGATTCAGGCACTGTATCAAAAGTGCAGACTAGCAGAACAGAGGCTGATTGTTTGTCGCGACGATCCCACCAATTTGATTGCTGCACCCTTGTCGAACCGCCGATTTGGAGGTTGAAACTGTCTCCTTTACTATGTGTCTACTTTCTTATGGTTAGTTATAGCAACCCGATTCGTCATCTCTATCACACTTGTAATTTTTTTCCGCTCCAAACGAACATATACACTTTTTGTCGCACAGTTCGACTGATCAGTTTTATCTCTCACGTCATATTTTCCAGTTCTGGCTGGACATGGACAAGAAAATAAGCAAGCAGCTGCGCAGTAAGTGTTACATTTTTAAATGAAGTACCGTACTTTTTGAAAAAGGGTTTATTGGAACGTACTGTCCTCGCGGATTTTGAGACAGCCATTACCATTTTCAACTTTCCTTTTCTCAGAAGGTTTCAGGAAGAATCTCTTTTTCGAATTTCAGTCACTTTGGATTATTGATCTTTATATCAGACAATGACTTTTAACTCCATTTCAGGTCGAGTTCTCCGTGATTTTCTATGTAATCACAGTTTCACAGGACTATATCTCACACGTGATGTCAACTTTGCTCTATCGTGCTATTTGAGAGAAGACATGAAACTTTTGTGTTTTAATCTCGACAATTTACACCGTACACAAATAGTTAAAATAAGAGTAGGATTTAAACATCATCTTTTTGGTGACATTGCGAATTCCGGTAAGTCCGGAAAATGGTCGACCTCCATAGATTACGTTTGCTAAGGCATGTGTTACGCACGTCGCCAAACAGGTTGCCACGGCGTGTGATGTTTGCCGAGGCAGATAACTGTTGGCAAAAGGTCAAGGATGGTCAAACGACGACTTGGCATGAGGGTATGAAAACCTTTACCAGGAGACTAAGTCACATAGGCCCCCATTAAGCTCCCTGGCTGGGGACCCCGAGATGATGGTCACCAACAGTTGGAGACACAGCGATATGGCTGTGTCGCAAACAGTGGCGCTCGTGCATCCACTCATTATCCTCCTAACGCCGTTCCATAACAATTCTCCATCTTCCGCTTGAATTTGCTTTCCATATTCCGGTCTTCATTCTGCTCTTTTATCCAAATGTGGCACCTAAAGACAGCAACCAAAACCGGCCCTCGAAAATGCATGGTTAATGGTTGTAAAAACTGAAACTGGAACAGAATTCCGGTAAACATTTGCACGAGTAGCTATAAAACAGAAAGTCGGGTGTGTAGGCGGCTGCTGTACAAAACGTTCGTTCGATGAACGGTTTCCGATTATGTTTTCTTAGTTACCAGCTCCGTTCACCTTAACTGGAACGACCTTGGAGTACCATAAGCAATAATATGAGGTGAGAACAGCAAATTGGTGCGTACAGGTTTCAGTTTACACAATCACTGATCTTAGTCTACTCTGCCACAATTTTAGTCACTATCTCTCGGATTCGCATTAGGTGGGCCAATAAGAAACATATTAAAGCTTAGAGCAGTATCAAAAATGAAATAAATACGGTGAGTGTTATCATTTTTCGTTTTAGTTCAGAACTATGCGGAAACAATTCAGAATTATTGGTTGGTGGGACTGACGTTCTGATTGGTCTGTATGCAAACCTATGGTGTTTACCGACGCATTATGTCTTCATGGTCCGCGTATTGTTCTGCGCTGTACAAGGATGAGGGAATACACGCGATCCCGTTTTGGTCACTGACCCGGACGGAAAATCTTTGCGGCTATCTTAGGTTCACTGCGTTCGGCCTCGTGAGATCAACAAGAATTCACGGCACAGAAGATCGAGCTGTGATCCGGTTGTTGCTGTGGTGCTGGAGGGATGAGGGCGCATACGAATTGGTTCCGGGGCACGAAAGGTAGATACTGTGAGGCGACGAGCAAACGCGTGGTATTGTTGCGAGGGCGAAGAAACACAAACTTGAAACGCCGTATTGTTGTTCTGACTGTCCCAGTATTTAGACTTTACGCAAATTACCATAGCGGCAACGCCCAAAACGTGTCGTCCGGGTTTGAACGTGGACCGACCGATGCATAAGACTATGTCCGTTCGGCATAAAGCCAGACGGTTTAGCCACGCGTAGCTAAACACCAAGGTCATTGTTGATCCCCGATTATAAACGCGACCCCGCAATGGTTTGGATGAATATTATATATGATTTTGTCTGGAGCTTGCACAGTGATATCATCCTGGTAAACACTAACCTCATCGATATCTCCAACACGGTTGGTAACACTTGTTGGTAAATCACATATGAGTTGCTCAGACTAACGCGAAGAAATCGGTGTTTCTAAAGTCCATGCAGTGTATTTATCGTGGTTATTTACACCGAGGATTAGCACAGAGTGATCTGTTATTATGCATCTTTCAAGTCGCCTTGAGAAGACAACAGAACAACGCGCCGACCATGAAGATGCGGCGCGTTCATAAATGCAGAATCGGTAGTAGGTTCGCGCACCCGCTCATACACCAATCAGAACACCAGTCCGACCAACCAGTTGTACGACAATCCTGAATAATTTTGATATCGTTCAGAAGTAAGAAGAAAGATGGTATGGATCTGCTTAAAGTGGGGGAGATGCATGAGCATGTTTGCGATCATTGGTTAAGTTGGTTATGGGGACACCTGCCGAGGAGCTAACTCAACGTTTACGAGTAAATCCCCAGGAAAAGGTTGCCGCCGTCACACTAGGTGTTATTTTACTTAACCTTAGCCTCGTCAGACATTGCACATTGAGGAAGTCTAATTGGTGGCATGCGTAACATATGCTTCTACCGTCGCAATCTATCGGGGTCAACCACTTGCCATTTAGCGTAGCGACGATGACCTCATATCTGTTTTTCCTGCCACACAGCTTACGGAACACAGATTGATGAAACCTGAGGAAATAAATGTCTCAGTTTTCTTCTAGCCTCGTACATAATGTATTTTCACTATGAATTTATCTGTTAACCTGGTTTATCTCAGCTTGTATGGATAAAACCAATAGTTTGAGTGATAAGCGCTACTTCGTGTCAGATTATTTTCGCTCTTGTTCTTCCCTTCGCTTCACGTACAGATGGTGAACAGTGGATATTCTCTTTTCAAGTGCGATTTTATCCACCGGAACCAACTTTGTTGCAAGAGGATATCACTCGCTATTTGCTCACTCTCCAAATACGTCAGGATATTTACACGGGAAAATTACCCTGCTCTTGGGTGACACAAGCTCTGCTCGGATCGTTCATGGTTCAGGCCGAGCTAGGTGATTACGATGAGCGTGAATATGGCGGATCGACACACTACTTGAACGAGTTCGAATTCATTCCATCACCGACTCCACAACTGCTACAAAAGATTTCAGAGTTGCATAAAACACATATGTGAGTATTTGTATGTATTCTTTTCACTGTGGGCATTATTAAAGATTGTTATTTACTTGAGAATCGCATTGTTGTGCGGCTCATGAAGGGGGGTGGATAATCGTGGCGATGGTCGTGTACCGACTGCATGCAAATTAGAGCGAATTTTCTGACATCTGTTAGTTCTGTTTGCCATTTACTTGCGTTCGAATTAAATTATTCTAAAGTTGGATTTCGGAATTAGATAGCTATGCAAATCGATTTATGATGTGTACAGATGTTGTTCTGTCTGGCAAATCAGATCGTCAGAATTGTATCCTTGCGATTGACAAAAAACTTTTCGCATATCTTTTTTCGGAGAAACATAGCAATTCGAACAATCATGATATTGAGTGCGAATTTAGTATTTTGATTTGTGAGTAGCAGCATTGTTTCTGTCTTCAATAAATAGTAATATTCTAATTAAACTATAACTGCTGGAAACTCGGGTCAAAATAATCTAGGTATTTTGCTCACAATTAGCCCAAATAAGCGGATTTTGCTATGAAGGGAACCGACCAAGGGAGTTGATCTTTCAACGGGCTTTCGCCTAGCAGGTGACCTCTATGGAACAAGAAACCTACCTTAAATGTACGTTTAAAGTACTGCAATGCTCGTCTGATTCCAAACCAAGTGAAGCCATCACTTTCATTTCTATGCCTCATATGTAGCACTGTCATGCTGGGGAAGATTTGCCTTCGGATCTATAGAATAGTGAAAATGAACCCAGCGAAGGTGATAACGAAGCAGACCTGGAGTTATTCGTTTTAAAAAGCCATCTGGTCTGCAATAAGATCACTACGCATGCTTTGGATCATCTCGTTTGGTTCAAAAAAGCGCTTGCTTTCATATACAGTTTAATTGGATAATAATCTGAAACATAAATCAGATCCCGTACGGTTATAGCAGTATGCACGCGCATGATTATCTTGTTGAATTTCGAACGTTGTAATATGCATGGTGTCCAAGCTTACTGCCGGATGTCCCACTTGATCGGCTGGACGGGATGGCCAAATGGGAGCCGAGTCCCGCGCGGCCTGGAACCGTCGATTAATAGGTTCTCCGTGGAGAGGGTTAATTGACCGTCCGCCTGAGGTAGGAAATACCGAAACTGTGAATTAAAAGATCCAATGAGACATGAACACGACTCACACTCAAACTGAATGGCCAGTTCCCTCGATCGCTACCAGATGACTGTCTGTCAATCCATTTTTCGTATTACGTCATCCTGATTGACTCGTTATCACAGACTCGCTAGATAGTTTGGTGTTACTCGTTGATCTTTATTTTTCCCAGTTTGACGTAGCGGTATCTTTCTGGTCTGTCGACCGACATCTGAATGTTGGATGCGTCACATTTCACGCTATTTCATTGTTTCATAGAGGAAGCTGATTAACCGCTGTGGTTGATACCATTTCATCATCGGTTAATGGACTACAGTGATCGCATTTCCTATGCATCAATATTCCTCGTTAAATATATTGATTACCTTGGTCATCACCTCTGGAAAGCATTCTACAGATTGTCTAACAATTAGTGTGGATACCTATTTGACTGTGAAGGTTCTTGATTTTTTTCTCTGTCCATTTTTCTCCAACAGTGGAATGAAACCGAATCAAGCGGACATAAAATACTTAGAAACAGCCAAACGTCTTGAATTATATGGAGTCGATTTGCACCCGGTACGGGATATGGAAAACGTGGACATCTATCTGGGTGTCGGGTTTCATGGGATTGTGATCTATCGGGACAGATTGCGAATCGGACGATTTGCTTGGCCGAAGGNGCTGCGTATCTCGTATAAGAAGAACAATTTCTATTTGAAAATACGACCAGATAGTGTGAGTCACAGCTGGCTGCATTCCACTGATTGAATTTATTATTATTATTATTATTATTATTATTATTATTATTATCATTATTATTATTGTCTACCGTATCTGTTAATTGCTTTTTGATTCATCTTGCAGATTCAGCACAGTGATGAATGGATTGTTGATGTAATTCTGCACCGTAGCACATCCTGGGGTAACGTCCTCTCTTTAGAATAGAAACCGTTCATACATCAGTGTTAATGGACTTCTGGGTCTTCAGCAAACACATCGAATTCTGGATAAAAGGACTTCTTTTGAGAGCCGTATTATGCGAGCGAGAAATGTGAATCCACTACGTATAATTTAGCTTTTGATAGACCTGGTTTGTTGTAATACAATTTTTCTGTGATGTAAGCTCTTTAGGATACACCTGGATACTTCATCTAGTTAACGCACTGGATTCATATTCTCGCACACCCCAGTTGCTAGCTCCGAGAAGATTTGGTGAATATACACTGCTGATAATTTCTAGTGGGAATAAAGTGGCTGTCTGTGGCTCCCAGACTCGAGTGACAAGTTGAATTCACTGTTCTAATGTGATACGAGTCCTCAAGTGTACATCGAAAATGCTTAAGTTTTAATTTTATCGATACTGTTGTTGGTGAGACAATGATCAAAAGCAATAAAATGATGATTTCAGTCGGTTCTCTTTGTTAACTTCCACAGGGGTTCCTCTGTTTAACCCTTATGTAATGATTGTTCAGAGAATGGAAACAGAACTTAGGATTCCTAAAATCCAAATTGTTACGGTAGTTTGATGAAAAGGCGACAAGCCCCGTAGGATAAAATGATGAATGATATTTTTAGTAGTAATAAACATTGCGCACCCAAGTGGACGAACTCCCAACAACTATATTAATACAACGAATGTACAATAAATGAAGCAAAAAAGGAGGCAGAATAGTGGTAGTTGAATGGTTCATTTCGTGCACGATGTACAAGTCACCGGTAATTTTTCCTAGATCACAAATTAGTCATATAAGGCAGAACAGAATTACGATAAGAGGTGGTATGCAACAAATGAATTTTTAAACTTTGCTGGTGTTAAGACCGAATTCCAACCGCCCCGCTATGCACCGTAATTTAGGGCCCGTAACCTAACACAGAAAATCAGAACACACAGACGGTGTGCGGCTCGGAATCGGGTTAACGATTTAATGGATGATCATCAATCGATTAAACGATGACCGACAATTAGGTCAAGCTGGCGCATGGACAAAACGGACTGGATGAGTATTAGTCAGTGTCTGTCATGAATAGCTGTGTCACGTGATTGGACGATCAATGGGAACTGATAGACGAATGGGTACGTAGCAGCTGGGTACTTAAATATATATATATATATATATATACCAAACAAATCACGGTAAAAAATCTTTATAAAACAGGAAAAAGATTCATAATTTCCTCGAGGGCGCGATAATAGTAGGTTGCCCAGGCCAAAGCAGGTAGTTCACAATCCGGAGCTTTCGATTAGCCAAAACCTGAACCGCAAGGCAGTGGGGAGGTGTGTAAAAACCGCAATTCTTTGGGCGCGGGTGTCAATTCCATCGGTTCATACGCCCTTTGGATGGGGTCAAATGTCCAAAGCGCCCAGTATACCTCGATGCCTAATTGAGCCGGTGACTACTGCCGCTTGGTCAGGAGGGTGTGGGTGAGTGTGGTTCACCCGCCTTCTCTTGGTTAATTTGGAATAGGTTTTTATCCACCTCCCCTGGATGAATTGCCAATGGTTCACCTACCTGGTTATAGTCCCGGATATTGACTTTTAGTCCTCTCACTTGGGTGGGAAAATACCTCAGCCACAAGAAAGCAGTGAGTAGGGTTTTTTCAATAGAAGCAGTTTGTGATGCTTGGTGGAATGGGAGCATTTTATGATAAATGTCTATAAGTCTTTTCGAGGAAAGCTGCGCACAAGCATGTACGCGTGCACTAACAACAATGTCTGAAAAAGTTTTCTTACCGGTACTTATTTGGGTCGCATATTCGGAAAAACGTTTCCAGTGAGAAATTCAGTTGAACCTGAATCGAACTGCGAACCCCCGAGTTTTTAGTCGAAAGTTCTGATATAGCCACGCGCTTAAGCTGTTGAGTGTCTAATGTGTATGGTTTAAGACAAGGATTTACAGCTGTAATCCCAAGTTTCGTGTTTCGTGCACAGGCAGGGCCGCAATTTGATTGCCACTATGAGTCTCAACTGTGACGGACCATTGCTCCTTACTGGCTTTGACAAAGTTCGATCTTGAAATCAATGCGCTCTCCTAGCGAAGTATGTTCACCGAAACAGATGACAAATATCGACAATAGTGGTTCTCTCCGAGCATGTTACACAACATCGTCTGTTTGGCTAAATCGTCTACGCCCCGCTTATGTAGATTCACCACACATTTATACATCACATAGAATCCTATGCACGAATGTTCACTGACCCAGTTAAGAAATCTCATTCTGTTTTTGTGGTCTTTGACCACACCGCACTGAACATTTATCTCGTCCACGTAACGTGTCACGCACGCATGCTGGTACCCAAGTTGTAACCGATGCAGTTCTTTACGTATCGTGTGAAGGCGTCCACGTCTAACACGTTCACCATTCACATGTCCCGCATTGATGAGGTTCATTTTTTCATCTTTTTCGTGGTCCACACGCCTCATGTTTTGGTCTGCAGCTAACCGGCACACCATTGTGTGCTTGCTGATCGCCATCTCCCGTCGACTGAGTTCAACCGGCGGTGTCTAAACACACACACACACGCACGCCATTCTTGTCGGACCGACTTGTACACACTGGATGAACTACGGAGGGATACTCGATGTGACTTGTTTTTCGATTGATCGGCTTTGCTGTCGCACAGTTAAGGACGTTTCTGGTGCTCCGTTTGTATGACTGACTGAGTGATAAAAATGCTGACCAAGTGGCGAATGCAAACTTGGTACTTTTTTCCCTATACAATTTGTTCACCTCAAACCCTACCAGAATCGATTCCCTGCAGAATCACGTGAAACTACCACTCGAGGTTCTCGAGAAACTTCACCCAGCTTTTGAGTGTCGTGTTCTATGTTTTGTTTGATTAATCGGTGTGTTCCTACGTATTACATTTTAATATGGCAGTTTGGGTTGATGGTTGATTCGGTAAATACCGGGCTCCAACAGTAATCGTTCTAACTTAGCTGCCTAATTTTACGCAGTAATCTGGCCTTCAAGCCTGTTTTTTAATTACATAATTGCACGGCACAGTAGGTGTGAACCCACTGGTTTCAGTTTAGTACTCTGCACTGAGGATGGCTAACGAAATCGGAGGACTAGACTATATCTTGCCTTATCAAGATAGACATTTCAGTCAGCCAGACGGTGGTGGCTCAGTAGTTAGGTCACCAGATTGCAACCCGGGAGTCTCGGGTTCGAACTGCTCCACAGTTTCCCGTTTCCCCATTCCTGTATTTTCCAGGGCAGCCTTTGTATGGCCTCTTCCCGGAAGTTGACTGTATATTTGTGTATTCAATATATTAAAAAGAAAGTGGAATTGCTTCAGCGACTGCACCTAAACGTAAATAATAATAACATTAATCGTTTCGCTTCCTTTTTTTATTTTATTGGGTATACTGATGTACAGTGAACTTTACGGAAGGAGCCGCGGCCAAACAAAGGCTGCGTGGTGAAAGGGAAGATGGATGGCGGTGGTAGGATTCAACTTCAGGATCATCAGGTGACTTTTTGATGACCTTGACTACTTTGCCGCCACCGCCCACTTACAGCATTCATGTCACCAGTTTTGCTTCTTGACCTCATGTCTATCGTCTCATCTTCCTCCGGTCAGGTAGCCTCCCCAAGTGTGGGTGATGATAAGTCCAGTGAGATTGCGCTTTCAGCCCCCGAGTTCGAACTCCTCAACAGCCGACCTCCCAAAATCAGAAGCCAACCAGATCAACGGGAACGTTATATTAGAGAGCATATAAATGGGCTATACTTGAAGGAAAAACATGTTCATTATATATAATTCAGTTAGTCTTGAGAATTCTAGAACATTTGCGCGCTGACCGGCATCGAAACATTCCAGAGCAGAGTTCATCAATTAAATTTAGCAGATTAGGGACTCACGTTACTGCTGGTACATTTCAGCACATTCTGTGGATTCTCTGGAACCTGGATTTTTTCTTGTTGATTTCGTTTTCTCATGAAAACGGACTGATTTTCAGGAAAACTTTTGTCTTCCTGATATGTGAAACCTCTTTCTCGCACCGAAAGTGGAGTTCGTCCTTTAAAGAATCTACTGGTTAAGTTCTGTTCACTGATTTCTCATCTCGAGGCTATTTACACTAGCTGAGGGGACGAAAGGTCACTATCCAGGATGATGAATAAGTTGTTAAACTACGGCTAACCAATTCACCTGATGCAGATGATAAACCTTGATTCCAAACTTCCCAAAAACGTAAGATCTAGCGATGGTCAACAAATGAACTAGGTGATCGAGCATACCTGTTACCCAGGGTATATAAACCGCGTCTCGGGAATTTAAGGTCTCATCGAATAATCACTGACCGCCAATAGATTACATTTTTTACACGCCATTCAGTTACCCCGAGGTTCAGGTTTTGGCTCCGGTTGTTTGACACAGTCTGTACCCAAAGTTTAACATCGACCTAATTATTCAAAATGCGATTTGACAAAGGAACCACGTATCAGACAAAAATAATTTAAATCGTAATCTATCTGTTGTATGCCCAATAGGCTTGTGATTTCCAGTAGTTCCTGTGCCTTCAAAACACGTTGAATACATTTAGGAGCATGATCCTACTATCGTTGTCGCAATTATCTTTTGCGTATCTTTAGTGTCATGCGATTCGTTAGCACAAGACGACGTACGTGGACAGAATTGATATTGACCATCAATTGCGCGTGTTCTCATTTAGCCGGAAACGCATACATATACATTACATGACCTTAACCCGTAACCAAACCCAAATTGCGCAACTCACTTGTCCACTACCTTGTTTCGGTCACTCGTTTCAGCTCCTATGTTTCTTTGTTTAGCTTAACTATTTAGCTGTGCGTTAAATGCTGAATAAAGTCACATGAGATCGATGGTCCTAAATCTTACAGTTCTTTCCAAAAAGTGAAAGCTAGATTTATGTGGCATACCATTGTGAGCTTGTTTTGCACCACATTCTGGAACACAA